GAAGCCTGATGCCAGTGCCCACCACTCCGCTGAATCCTCACATCATGGGGGGGGGGGATGCAGATGGGGAAGACATGCCTGCCTTCCCTTTGTGGCTGGGGAAACTGAGGCACAGTGAGTTGAGGACACTCAGGACCAAGCCTGTCCAATACTCTCTGAGCCACCCCATAATTTGCTCATGATGAAAGCAGCCTTTGGGGTGCATCTCCTGGGGACATAGGCTCACACGGGACTCACAGCAGCTGTGAGAGGCATGTTCTAGGGGGGTCCCAACACAGGCTTGGGGTAGGAGGATCTGGGCTAAGGACCCAGGCCTCCCGACTCCTGGGCTCTGCTAACTGCTGGTGCTATAATAATGGCAACAGTGACAAGTTTTCTCCTAGGCCCTGGGTGCCTCCACTTCATCGTGTCCCCTTAATGGCCCTACATGAGCAAGGTCATTCCTCTTTATGGCTAAGGCTACTTGGGGCCTCAGTTATCAGCTGTACCTGCCACCCCACAACGTGGCAGAGGCTTTTCTGAGGGCCTGGGTCCCCTCCCTGGACTTTGGTTCCCAGGGACAAGGGTGAGCGAGCCTTAAGACATACCAACCTCCTGACCTCACGAGGAGGTGGATCTGATCCACTTGGCACTGCGTAAGAGATGACAGTGAGGCCATTCTCTGGAGAACAGAGGCCCATTGGCAGTGCTGGCCCCTCAGTCAGACCTACCTTCTGGGGTAGGGGCCCCCAAGACCACCCCTGTTCCTCTGGGTACCAGCCTGGCCCCCACTCCCAGAGAACCTTGCATAGTGTTAACTCCGATTAACTCAAGGAGTTCTGGTTGTCCTTGCAGGCAGGGACCATGGTTATTTCAGCTTAAAAATGCTACTCTCAGAGGGCCTAGGGGGAGGTGAGCAGTTGATAAGGTCCCCATGCTATCTGGTGGGAGGAGGGTCTCAAAGCTCTGGGACAAAGTGGGTCAGAGGATACTGCCTGGTGTCCCTGTGGCAAAGCTGTGGAAATTTCAGAGCAAAAGGCCTGTGCAGGGCCTCTGTGGCAGAAGCTCTTGGTGTCCATAGCCTACAGTCTCTGCCCTTCACTCGCTTAGTTTGGCATTTAAGAAATAAAGTGTACCCCAAATGGAGGGTGGACAGTTTCCTCCAGGAATTTCCCCCTTGTGCCTTGTATGAGAGCTCTTCTCTGGAACGCCCACACGTTCTGTCGCACTAGGTTTGGATCCTAGCCCCACCACTTCTAGTTGAGGGAGCCTGGGCGAGGTACTTCTAACTATGTCTCAGTTTCCTCATCTGGAAGGTGGGAAGGACAAGTCTCCTCCCGTGGCATGGCCAGAAGCATTAAAAGGCCAGCAGAAGGTTGCCAAGCAGAGCTGCCCATGCCTTGGTGTGGCTGTGCGTGAGAGGGAGGCTGGCACACTCACTTTAGCACATTCCAGGGCTCTCCTGGGGGAACACGCCATAGCGTGTGGTGATCCTGAGAGGACAGATTACAACGCCAACAGTCCCTGCATCTGCTGTGATTCACTCCACTAAGTGACTCCAAGCACGTGGCTTAGCTGTTCTCTACCTCAGCTTTTCTGCCCTAGCAATGCAACACAAAGCACTGAACCGCACGTTCTGCAGTGAGGATTAAATGTGTGAATGGGGGCCAGCGAGACAGCTCAGTGGACTACGTGCTTGCTTAGACAAGTGCAGGGACTGGGGTTTGATCCCTGGCCCCACATGCCATGCTGGCTCTGACCCTGGGTGTGCTGAGCTGGCCACCGAGACTGGGCATGCTGGTGCACACCTGTAATCCCAGCGCTGGGGAGGCAGAAAACAGGAGGATCACCATGAGTCCGAGCTGCGTAGGGAGACCCTGTACCAAATACATTAGAAAAAAAAGAGTGTATAGACAAAAGTAGTAATTCTGTATTTAAAAAAAAATGTATCTGTGACTAAATTAACAGGAACCATTTAACTATCTCATTTGTTTACACAAATCTACATTCAAAAAGCCATCTCTGGATCTTGTCACTGGGAAGAGGAGTTAAGAGTTCAGGGCTGTCAGCGTTCTGGTATCTCATTTTTTCTTTTCTTGGCAGCTCAAACGTATTTTCTGAGCAGCTATTATGTGCTGGGTCTGGGAGGGGTCGGGGGAGGGCATCAAGGTGTCTCCCAGAGCTCTCAGTGGGTGGGAGCCACAGAGAGCCACATGTTGCTATGGGAACACTTGCTGACTTGGCCGGCAAAGATGCTGTGTATGGAAAGAAGGCTCAGGTGGGTGGGAAGGCCACGCTGTCCCTGAAGATGGGAGGACAGATTTGTGTGATGACCTATAGGTTGGTATTGTAGTTAATTATGTCCCTTCAAAACAGACAGGCTGAACCCAGTCAACTTGAAGAGTCCCAAAAGAACCCTCTTCCACTAAGAAATCAAGATGGCAGAACTCTACGGGGAACTGAGGAAAGTGGATTAATACAAGTGTGCTGTGAAAAGACACCATCATGACAGGGTTCTTTCAACATGGGTTCAGTGAAATGAATGAAACCCATCTTATCCAAGAAATAGACAGTGGATTTGACTGACTCTTTTCTTCTTTCTTTGCTTTTCTTTCTTCTTCCCCTCCCCTCCCCTTCCCTTCTCCGTCCTTCCTTCCTTCCTTCTTTCCTTCCTTTATGTATTTAGTATAGGTTCTATAGGGTCTCACTATACAGATTGGACTGGTAGTGATCCTCCTGTTTTCAGCCTCCCAAGCACTGGGATTACAGGCACACACCCACCACGCACAGTCTCAATCCCCGTCTCAGCATGCCCCGTGGGCAGGGCTAGCACAGTATGCCAGGGATCAAACCCTGGCCCCTGCACCCTGCCTAAGCAGGTGCTTTAGTCCGCTTTTTTTCCGTTTTGATTAGTTTGAATATGACCTCATGGAATGCTAACTTTAATTTTATAATGTCCAAGAAAACAAAAACAAAAAAGACAGGATGAACCAGTGTCTCTCAATGTTGTCTAATGTGGACCCAAGGTCTTTTTAAAAATTTTTTTATTTATTTATTTACGTGTGTGTGTGTGTGTGTGTGTGTGTGTGTGTGTGTGTGTGTGTGTGTCCAGCTCAGCCCACCAGGGGGCAGGGCTGGCTGGCATGTGGTGCTGGGGGATTGAACCGCGGTCACTGTGTTTTGCTAAGCTTGTTCTAAGTAGGTGCTTTAGACCACTGAGCCATCTCACCAGCCCGGACCCAAGGTCTTTACAAGGACATCTTCTCTCCAGTGGTTCTGTAGATTGAACCCAAGGCCTTTGCACTGAGCTACATTCCCAGCCCGTTTTTTATTTTGAAACATAGGGTCTTGCTATGTTTTCAGGTTCTATGCAAACTTGTCATCCTCCTGCCTTAGCCTCTGAGATTGCTGGAATTACTGGTGGGTTCCACCACACCTGGCTCAGAGATTATCAAGTTAAAACAGTGCCATTAGTGTGCCTCCCTAATATGTTTTGCTTTGTTTTGTTCTTGAGGCAAGGTCTGTGTAGTCCACCCTGGTCTTGAACTCATTGTGATTTTCCTGCGTCAGCCTCCAAGTGCTGGCCTGGTTGTGGCCCTGATCTGGTATGACTGGAGTCCTTGCAGGAAGGGGAGACATGGATGTGGACACAGAGAGAAGGCCGTGTGAAGACAAAGGCAGAGCGGCCTCACAAGATTATGGGAGTTAAAGTGAGACTCAGCCGGGATGGTATAGTACCTGTAGTGGGCAGGCAGGTCACAGTGTCTCATGACCAAGAGAGTGTGGCTCCTAAGGGACACAGAACAATGTGAGGCTGTCTATGGCCGGGAAGGCCTGTGTGAGGGGTGGCATTAGCCTGAGTTCTCGCAGAGCTAGACATTCTCCAGAGGCAGGAGATCTGTAGCAAAAGCATTCCTGGGGGTAGGAAGAGTCAGTGCGAAGGCCTGAGGTGAGCTCAAGAGGAAAGCAGCAGCAAAAGGCCAGCAAAGCAGGGGGCAGGAGGCTCGGCCCAGAAGTTTAGGCCAACAATGTGGTGAGCCACTGCATGGATCACAGTGTGCTCAGTGAGGGCTGGGGAGACAGCTCAGTGGCACAATGCCTGCATGGCAAGCGCAAGGTCTTGAGTTTCAGTTCCAATACCAAAAAACAAAAACAAAAACAAAAACTCTAAAATGAACCCCCAAACCAAAAAAGTGCTCAGTGAACCGAGAGCCTTTGTCATTAATCCTGGGGATGCAGGAAGCCACTGGAGCTGTAAGCTGAGGCGCAAATGGGATGGATCTAGGTTTCAGAATCCCCTCTGGCTCTCAGTGAGGGTCCTGAGCTGGATTCTCGGTGTAGGCTCACAGCATGTGTGCCTGTCACCCTCTCTAGGGACCCAGTATTTCTGTCTCCTGATTGCTCTCTCCCTCCAAGCTCTATGTTACCCTCAAATTAGAAAGGCCCCATCCAGGTCATGAAAGAAGATGTTAGAAAGAACAGCTGGGTGTTGTGGTGTACACCTGTGATCTCAACATTTGGGAGGCAGAGGTAGGAGGATTGCTGTGAGTTTGAGGCCAGTTTGGGGCCACACAACCAAACTGAACTACATACATAGTGAGAGCCTGTCTCAAAAAACTAAACAAAAAAACAACTCAAAACCGAACAACTAAAACCAGGAAGGAGTTGGGCAGGAACCTCCTTACCCCCAACATAACAAAAACATTGGACCTGGCTTCTTGGGCTCTCATCTAAGCTCTATCTTTTACCAGTTGTGAGCCCCTGGGCCTCAGTTGGTCCCACAAACCTGGCAAGCTCTTTAGCCAAGGTCCAGATACGAACAACCTTCTGACCTACGGCACAAAGTTCTCACTGACTCTTGACTGCCCAGCACCCCCACCAACCCACTGGAGCACTAGCTCCCTGCATCCCCCACGTGCCCTCCTCTCTGCCTTACAGTTACCGTCTCAGGGAGTGAGCGAGGCACCCTACTCTTGGTCCAGAGCCCCCTGGCTTGGCCTCACTGCGTACCCAGCACTTACTTCTTGGGGTCAGTGAAGGGCAGTGGTCGTGGCGGGGGCTCGTCCATCCTCTTCCACCCTGCTGGGTGCTTATTGCGCACAGGCTGCTTGGAGAAGAAGGACTTGGGGACGGAGGTGGAGAGCTGGAAAGGGCCGGACTGGGCCAGCTGGGAGGGCCGAGGAGTCTCTGCGCTGGCCATTTTGTAAACCTGAGCAGGGTAGCCAGCCCGGGAGCCCATGTCACTGCAAAGACCAAGCAAAAGCAAGTTCATTCCTGTAAGACAGTCACAGACACACTACTGCTGCAGATAGTTCCAGCAAGATGGCAGGTGACACGGGGCAGTGCAGACTCCTGGCACCCCTGGCACCTTGGGGGTCTCTGTGGGAGTCTGAAAAGTCACCCTTCCCTTGGTGCAACCTATGTAGCTGAAGGTGGGTCCCACCTCCCACCTGTGTCTAGAAAAAGCCATGGGGACAGCTGGCTCTTTCCAAATGGCACACCATGTTGGAGTTACTCCACATTGAACAGAGCAGCGAAGGAAATCCGGATAGGAGCAAGAGTGACAGAAAACAGAAAAGTGACAGCAGAAGGACAAACGTAAATTAAATGCCAATTCTTACAGTAAAAGGGAACCATTCAAGCTAACCAAAAGGCTGAGGCTTTTAGACTGGAGTTAGAGAGCAACTGTAAATGATTTTTACAATACAGCAGTATTTACTCATAGGCCATGGTTCTGGAGCCCCTGAAGTGCGCATCCCTGGGAGTGGACTTTATCACACCAAGGTCTAGAAGGCTTCCCCTCTCAGGAAGGTCCCTCCTCGGCTTTCTCACTGCTGGGACGAATACTGGGCACAGACAAATGAAAGGCAATACAGTGTGCGGTGTAAGAGTGCATGCCTGTGATCCCAACACTCAGGAGGCTGAGGCAGGAGGATCGTCAGGAGTTTGAAGCCAAACGGGGCTGCATGGTGAGTTTAAGGCCAGCCTGAACTATATCGCAAGACAGTGTCCCACAGCACTTAAATAAAGAGTGCGGGGAATACAGTCCCCAAGGTCACTCCCACGATCTACTCAGACACACTGGGAAGAGCGCTCTGCTGACCTCCTAGGTGTATCTCAAGCCCATCATGCTGGCCGCAAGAATGAACATCAGATGAAAAATAAAAGGAACTATGATGTGTTATACACATGGCCCAGCTCCCCACAATGAACGTAATCACTATCTACTAGGAACTGGTACCAATAAAACCATTTAAAAGGAGGCAATGGCATCTGAGCTGAGAAGTAAAGGACGACCCACATTTGCCTAAAGTCGGCATCTCGCTATGTAGTTCAGCCTGGTCTGGAACTCACTGCGTAGTATACAGGCTTGGCCTCAAATTTTCAGGGATTCTCCTGCCTCAGTTTTCTAAGCTAATATTGTTTATAATAAGAAAATCTGGGTCGGGGAGATGGCTCAGTGGAATAAGCGCTTCCCTGGAAAGTGCAAGGGCCTGAGTTCAATCCCCAGTTCCGCAAAAAAAAAAAAAAAAAAAAAAAAAGAAAATCTGAGAAGTAAAAGAATTACGATTATATGCACGAATCAACTCCTTATGAGGAATGGTCATTACATATTACAAACACATACTAATAAAATAAATTTATAAAAAGAAAAGCCATGGCTGGGGAGATAGCTCAGCATTCTAACCACCTGCCTGGCAAGCGCGAGGATCCAGGATTGATCTCCAGTATGATATGCCATGTCGGCCCCACACCAAGCTGGCCACTGAAACTGGGCATGGTGGAGCATGCCTATAATCCTAGTGCTGGGAGGCTGAAACAGGAGGATCACTATGAGTCTGAGCTGTATAGCAAGACCCTGTACCAAATAAATCAATAAAAAAAGAAAGAAAGAAAGAAAGAAAGAAAGAAAGAAAGAAAGAAAGAAAGAAAGAAAATCCAGGCATGGTAGTGAGGACAGAGGCTGAGGCAGGGGGGTTTACTGCAAGTTTGAGGACAGTCTAGGCTACATAGTGAGTTCAAGGACAGCCTAGAATAATGAGATCCTGTCTGAGAACGAACAACCTCCGCAACCCCAAAATAAAACAAATAAGAAAAATAAAAAGAGAAAATTTGGAATAACCATAGTAACTTTTTTCCCTAGAACTGAGGATTGAGCCCAGAGCCCATGCATGTTGGGTAAATGTTCTACCCTTGAGCTATACTGCCCGTCCAGGCCTTTTCTGTTTTGATAGTTACCTTTTTTTTTTTTTTTTTTTTTTTTTTGCAGAACAGGGGACTGAACTCAGGCCCCTGTGCTTGCCAGGGAAGCACTTATTATAATGAGCCATTTCCCCGGCTCCCTTTTCTGTTTTGAGACAGGATCTTACTACACAGCCCAGGCTGGGCATGAAGATGTAATCCTCCTACTTCAGTCTCTTGGGTGCTAGGATTACAGGCAGGCACCAACAACACATTGCTCACCCAAGACCTTAGCAATTCTTAAGGGAAAAGAAAAGGGGGAAAAAAAAATAAAAGCAAGCAAGCAAATAAATAAATAGATAATCAGTGCAGTCACAAAGTAAGGGTTAAGTGGTTCTGTGAAAGTAACTTCAGATGTCTCTGCTGGATTATACTATAAAAATGCTTTTTCTATTTTTGGCAATGGTCAAACTATTTCAAAGAACTGGGTTGGTACATGTCCGGAGAAGCACCTCTGGAGGAGTGCACATCACCCTCTGAAAGAAGTGATGGTGACATGCACATGCTCGATGTCAAATTAAATGATATAAATGACCCTAGGTAAAAGGGAAGTGGCCACCTGACACTTCAGTCCTGCTCTTACAGGCAAACATGGTCTATTCTTTCTTCTTTTTTAAAATTTCTTTTTTGGTATTAGAGACTGAACTTAGGGCCTTAGTATGCGGATACATCATCAGCCCCTTTTAATTTTCATTTTGAGACAAGGTCTTGCTAAATCACTAAGTTAGCTGGGCTGAGCTTGAATTTACAACCCTCTTGCTTCAGCTTTCCCAGGTGCTGAAACTACCACAATGTGACATGCATGGCACCATGCTCAGCTGACCTGAACCCTATGTCTGTCTATAGTACACATTCTTCCTCCTCCTCTTCAAGACAGGGTCTTACTATGTAAGTCAGGCTAGCCTCACTGTGTAGTCCAGATTGGCCTTCAACTTGTGATCCGCCTGCCACAGCCTCCCCAATGCTGGGATTACAGGCACATGTCACTATGCCTGGCTTTGGTATGTATCTCTTTGTCAACAGGTAGGTTCAGCTTTCCTGAGCTGAAAAAAATTTTTTTTAAATGGCAGAGAGACAAATAAACGCACTGTCTTTGCCAGCTAGCTCCTTCCACTGCCCTCTGGAGACCAGGTGGCTCCCTCTTTAGCTACTGGGACAAACACTGTTGGCTGTCACATGAATCCCCTCAACCCTGTAAGTGAAGGCTGCTTTCTCTCCTCCTTTGCCTGAGGATAGCAACTTGACACCCAGCTCCGGGGGCAAGCCCTCTAAGGATAGCCTGTGACTTATGGCTGGCTAATGAGACCTCGCTGTGCGTGCAGGAGGGAACTTGTGCTGAGTGATTTCTGGGGAAGAATTCCTCATGAAAAGAAACAGAGCAGGGGGTAGCTCAGTGGGGGTCTGGGTGGGATCCTCAGCAGTGCTAAAACACAACTTCCCATGACACAAATGAAAAATACTTGCAGAAAGTATCACCTCCTATTACATTGCTCATGTGTCTTAGAAGCTCAATGAGGAGTCATTTTGAGACCCTGAGGGGCCAGCCTAGAGGCCACAGGAAAAGGGACAAAAACTGAAAAAAGGGCTGGGATGCAGCTCAGTGGTGGAGCACTTGCTCAGGACATGCAAGGCCCTGGGTTCTATCCCAGCACTACAAAAGACAGATTAAAAAAACAACCAACCAACCAACCAGGGAAAGACTGGAGTCAATACGTGATCTAATACCAGGGTCCTGTCCCATCCTGGGACTCTGTAGTCTGAGTATCAAAGCTCAGTGTCGGGTAAGTGCGCTTTAGCGCTGTTGCATGGCATGGTGGCCACGTCAGTAATAATTATAATGTGTATTTCAAAACTGCTCAAAGAATTGATCTTTAATATTCTTAGCACAAAGAAGGTAATTTAGTGAAGTGACAGATGCATTGATTGGAATGAATCTTTCCATAGTACATCCATAGATGAAAACATGCAGTACTCTACAAATACGTGCACTTACTTACTAATTAAAATAAATGTAAAGGGCCACATAGTGAGTTCAAGGCCAGCTGAACTATACAGAGAAACTCTGTCTCAGAAAAGCCCTCAAAAAAAAAAAAAAAAAAAAAAAAAAAAAAAAAAAGAAATTTCCTTCAGTTGAGCGGAGATCCTGTTATTTACAGCAGAACACATGCCCCTGACTGGCCCTAATTTCAGTCCCTACTAACACAGCAGGTCGATGAGTAACAATATGTTCCCCTGAATGTGCCCTGCACGCTGACCCAGTCTCCGAGGGGTACCCCTTCCCACACACCCCAGGGATCACAAGTCACGGCAGGTGCAGGGTGTGCTTTGTCATTTCTCAGCAGCACCGGGGAAGGTGTGCTGCTTGGGGAGGAGCCCTGGGCCCGTCATCCAGGCAACAGCGAGCCTTCTTGGGCTGGGGTATAGCTCAGTGACACTGCTTGCTAAGCTTGCATGAGGCCCTGGGTTCTGTCCACAACACTGTAAAGAACTTGTCAAAACAGTAAAGCCTCTTTCTTTCTCAAGTGTCAGTGTGGCCATGTGTCCTCCCTAGGCAGTGTGGTGTGGCAGAGGATGACTGCCTCAGAAACAAGGCAGCAAAGCCACAGCTTCCACCCACGATCACGTGGGCGGAGTGCTCAGCACAGGGCCGGGATGTGCTTGAGGGCTGCAGGCACCCAGATGTGGCATCTCCAGGGGCCAACACCCCAGCTCTGGGCTCAGGTGCGTGGTGGAGGGTGGTAGCCTGCTCTGCATTGCCACCCCACCTTCAAGCTCGGAGGCCTTGAGTTCATCTGTTTTATGCTGAAGGGGCCAAATTTTGTTGGAATAAACATTTTGTGGCTTGCAAAGAAAAGACAAAAGCCATAGGATGGGCAGAGAAATCCTGCCAGCCTGGTCCAGCAAGCTGGCCCTGGGAGCTCTGCAGGGTGCTGATGGCGGACCAGGTTAGCAAGAGGCACATGGGAGTGAGCTGTGTCTGCCCTTGGGAGGAAGCACAGCA